TATAGCTTTTCCTTGCATTGCAGCCTTCAAATACTTTCTCCAATTTATTAGAATACACAATATATTTACTACGAACAATTTATAATTGACTTTGTATGAGCTATCTTCTTCCGAACCTTCTTTGATCTCTTCCCATTTTGACGCATTTTTACACCAAAAATCCTTACGAGCCATTCTTCTTTCCTTCGAATAATGTAACTTCCAATCAACAAACCAAGCAATACTCCACACCCATATCCCATCAACACAGCTTCCCAACCAAAGCCATCAAATTTGAACTTAAAATTGTGGCTAAATGCGGATGGTAAAGTTGGTGATTCTGCTATTTGGACATTCCCACAATTCTTTGACAATGGAAACCCGCACAAGCCTAGATTTCCCTCATATGAAGTGTTTGAAAATGTTTCAAACTGCTGGCCTCGTGGTATAATCCCAGTTAGATTATTTTGTGAGACATCAAAAACTTCAAGGAATGTCAAACTCGTTAGTTGTTGAGGTATCTCACCAGAGAGCTTGTTTTGGGATAGATCTAAGGACTCGAGCTCAGTTAGATCCCCCAAGGACACTGGAATGAGACCTGTGAGACCATTACTTGAAAAATTTAGGACACAAAGGGCTTTAAGTCTTCCAATGGATATTGGAATATTTCCATCAAACTTGTTGTGCGAGAAATCAATAGCTTTTAAGATGGTGATGATCCTTACGAATTCCATTTCCAGTCCTTTATTCATTATAGTTACCGAATAATAACCATAATCATTACCCATATAATTTAAGGAGGATTTGTCTTCATCATCCATCATCATTGAATGCATGCTCTCAAAGTATTTTGATGGCAGAGTGCCTGTAAATTCATTGTGAGACATGTCAATGATATGTAAATTGGTGAAGGCTAATCTCTTCCTCGGTTGCTCTATGGGACCATGGAATTTATTATATCGCAAGACAACAACCTTCAATTGGGGCAGGTTCTCCAACCAAAATGGAAAAGCATCTTCTATGAAATTATGACCCAGATTCAAAATTTCTAGGTTTGTGCAATTCGCCAATGATCTTGGAAGTATCCCTTGCAATCCATTGTGGCTAATGTCAAGTTCCTGTAACATGCTTGCGTTTCCAAATGTTTGAGGGATGGTACCATGGAAATTGTTTCTTTGCAAATTTAACGAGGTTAAATTTCCATTGAAGTTCCCCAAACAGGTAGGAATTAATCCGGCAAATTGGTTATTGGACAGATTGAGATATCGAAGAGAATGAAGATTGCAGAGTGGATTGGGTTCTTCATTTAGGTGGTTGTTCGAAAGGTCTAGCACCTCCAACAATTTCGTTCGGGTTTTCAGAAATTCAGGAATTTTACATATGTTGCAAGACGACAATCGTAATGTCCTAATGTTTCGGAAAGAGGAGGGAGTGGAGTTGGTGGAGGTCAATGATAGACCACTGTTTGAAAGATCCAAATAATTCAAATATTCAATCTTTGCAAACGTGTCCAGCTCAACAGTGTCGCTTAAATTATTTGATGAAAGATCAAGATAGGTAAGGTTCACAAGATGAAACAAGGAAGGAGGTATTGTCCCATTGATTGAGTTACTGCCTAAATATAGATACTGTAGATTTGGAAGGCCAGTTATTGATGATGGAATGGGACCTGTTAGTTGATTGTTTGAGAAATCTATAAATTGAAGTTGCGAGAAGTTGGGAAAAAATTGAGGAATTGGGCCTTCAAAATTGTTGTATGAAAGATCAAGCGAAATTAATCGCGTGAGGTTGGTAAGCGATCTCGGAATCGTACCAGAGAAATTGCAGTCACTGAGGTATAGTTCCTCCAAGTTTTTAAGATGGCCGATTGAAGATGGGAATTGACCATTGATCAGGTTATTCCCTCGAAGATATAACATTCTTAGTTTCTTGAGGTTTCCAAGCGATGTCGGAATGGTACCAAAGAAATTGCAGCTTTCTAGGTATAGCTCCTCCAAGTTTTTAAGATGGCCGATTGAAGATGGGAATTGACCATTGATCAAGTTATTCCCTTGAAGATCTAATATTCTTAGTTTCTTGAGGTTTCCAAGCGATGTCGGAATGGTACCAAAGAAATTGCAGCTTTGGAGGTATAGCTCCTCCAAGTTTTTAAGATGGCCGATTGAAGATGGGAATTGACCATTGTTCAAGTTATTCCCTCCAAGAGATAACATTCTTAGTTTCTTGAGGTTTCCAAGCGATGTCGGAATGGTGCCGAAGAGATTGCAGTCATAGAGGTATAGCTCCTCCAAGTACTCAAGTTGGCCGATGGAATTAGGTAGCTCTCCGGTGAAATCTATATAAGAGAGAGCCAACGACCTAAGGTGCCTAAGGTGCCGGAGAGTTCCATTAATAATATTTGGAAGTTTACCTGTGAGTTCTCTGTTACCGTATAACCACAGCACTTGCAATTTCTGTAAGTGGAAAATGCTATTGGAGAAGTTATTCCCTTGCCAGACTTCTTCTGATGATTGTATTGGGCCAGAAAGATAGGACTCAGAGAGGTCAAGATGGGTCAAATTTGTGAAACGGCCAAATGAAGGTAAAATTTGAGAGTGAGTGAAGTTGTTGCAAGAAAGGTCGAGGTGTTGAAGGTGAACAAGATTGAAGAGGCTGCTGTTTGGATGGATGGTACCATATAGGCAGTTACAATAGAGGTCGAGGCCAATGACATGAGAAGTGGTGTTATCACATGTGACCCCATCCCATGCACAACAATCTGTACCCTCTTTCCAATTATCAGTATCATATGGAACAGAAGGATCCCTGTTGCAACGGGAAGCAGAGCAATTGAAGGACAAGGATTGCTTAAATTGGAGCAAAGCAGTGCTCTCGTCATTATGGCAAAGATGTGCAGAAGAAGAAGAGAAGCAGAAAATTAGGGAAAACAGGATACATATTGTGAGTTGATAATTGGATAGTAAGAAACCCATTCTTACACCAGTATTGGGTGGGGTGGTAGAGAGGGAATTGGATATGATGCTTCTTCTATATGCATTCTCCTATTTATAACTTAATAAATAATTCAATAATCAAAAAATATAAACTGAAAATTGTCATTGTATAGTCTCACATATTATTATTATTATTATTATTATTATTATTATTATTATTATTATTATTATTATTTTTTGAGAACGATAGTCTCACATATTATCATTGTATTAATTTAATGGACTCCATCACTTGGTCAATTTTATTACTAATATAAAGATAATATATAAGATGATAAATTACTTTTTAGTAAATAAATGTAATTAGTATTCAGCAAAGCATTACTAAAAGTAATGAGTCCCAACATTGGCTCATTTTTATTACTAATAATATAATGCTAACATTTGAGGTGATATATAATTTTTAGTAAATAAATGTAATCATCATTATATTATCAATAAAATTGTATTTGAATCATGAATTGGTAAAGGAATTTAAAAAAAGAAAGACAAATATAAGAGAAATACAAATAAAATATAAGCTAAATTTTTTATCCACATTCTCACATTTTCGTTTTCTTTTTCAAATTAATATTTAAATTCATAACCAAACATGATTTAAAAATATATATTTTTTATTTTCTTTGTTTTTTATAAATGATTTGGCCATTTTCCAAACAGTACCTAAATAAAGGACTCACAATACTGTTCTAATTTGGTGCTTTATGTCAATAGCAAGCTTGACTAAATAAAAAAATTCGCGTTGATTCTTCGGCACAATGGGCTTCGGATCTTCTGTACCCATCTTCTGTCTCGTTCATTTTAGGCTACCATGTCATCAATCTTGAAATCATAAATGGGACAGAAAATGTGTACAAAAAATGGGTATAGGTGATCCGAAGCCAGTACTATGCACTTGGAATTATTAGATTGTCCTAATTATAAATATACACACACTGCTAACATCAAAGAGTAAAATATATAACTAAGGCCCTGTTTGATTAACATATATAATGTCATGTTTGTTTTTAACGATGAAAGGCTGGATTAGATTAGTAGTAAGAAAAGGTTTATAAAATTATTTTTATTTTGAGAAATTGTGAAATGAAGAAATAATCTAATGTATATAAAATAATTAATAATTTAATTTACTATTGAGGGTTTTAGATATTTTAAGTGCTAGTAAATCATTCTTACTCATCATGAGTGATTCCTCATTTTCCATTTAATTTTCATAGGGTTTTTTGATTTTCTAAAATTAATAGATTTAATATTATTACCCATAATAACACATTCACAAAATGATATTCTGGATCAGATTTCTTAACGGTTCAAACAAAAAATAACAAACTATATAGGCTTTAACTATATTATTAAAAACAAAAAATGATTCAAAACCATAATTTTTATAAATAAAACTAATAAATAATATAATATGATATTTTTGCAATTATAAATTACCATTAGGTGTTTTTTGCTTGAAATAAAGGACTGAAAAATGACATATTATTTCGTATGAATTTTTTCAATAATATATATATATAACATTATATTTTGTGAAAACCTTTAAAAATTTGTACATCTTTATTAAAGAAAGGGATGGAAAAATGTGTACTGGGAGAATTGAAGAAGAACGTTTCTTACAAGATGTTTATTGGTGCAAATCCTCTCCTCTCAAACAGGTTGGATTCTCTCAAGTTGGCGAGAGTAGTTGCGCTTAATGAGATCGTTTTGGGGTTAATCTCGATAATTTAAATTGTTAATTTTTTAAAATTTATTGAGTAAATATTCATATAAAATATCAAAATAATTAGACATATTGGTAGTTAATAGTTATATATTTGAATTACATTTATCTTAAAAAAATAGACGGCAAATATAATTTCAAGAATAATCATTAATTTTTTTTGTAATGTAAATATTATTCAAACATATAACTATTGATGTGTAATCCCTGTAATGAATTTTGCATTCAACGAATCTTCAAAAGTGAGCGGTTTGAATATATTATCAAGATCAATCTCAAAGGGGACGCACCAAACCCAAATTATTCTATTAAGTTAGATGACTAACTTGAGGAAATTCAGATAGAAAATTAATAATTGTAAAGCAACCAAAAGAAAAATTGAAAGCTTTTGTCACTGTATTAGTCGTGTAATTTTCAACTAACGCTTGGTTCTTTGAAATTTCATCTCATATTTAGTGGATGATTTGGTCCTCGAATATTGTTTGTGTTGATCTAGATTTCATTTCACAAATTAGTGGAAATATGTTGGAATTTAATTGGAAGCTTCACAAATTAGAAAATTTTTTTTTTTTGGGGTCATAAATCGTTGAGTAATATTACTAACTTGATTTTATTAATACAACTTAGGAGTCTACCTTGATATTATCTATAAGCTTTAAGTTAATCTTTAATAATCTTGATTGGATAACCATAAAATTATGTTTTTCTATAAGTTTGATTTTTCAGTAAAATTAATTTAGAAGTCTACTATAAGGCTTAAGTAAGTCTTTAGTAATCCTCACATCATAACGATAAAATTATATGGAAACCCGTATTACACTTTTATTAAACTGGACTACAAGCATTGAATGGTTACAAGTTGATGAGGTTTGGTAAATGTTTTGTTGTTGTTGTTTTTTTTGGGTATTTTTTTGACTTTTAGGTGATTTTTTTTTTCTCCTAAAGATGCTTTTGGTAAATTTCTTTTTTACTTATTTGGTGCAGCCTATCTGAGCTGCTTATAGTTTTTTTTTATTCTAGAAGACTATATGTGCCAGACTATTTAGTACATCTTCTGCTTATGTTTGGTACGACTTTTTCTTATAATTTATTAGAAAGAAATAATTTAAATAAGTTGAAAAAAAAAATTTAATTTCTAAAAGTTGGATGACGATTGATTTTGGCTTCTATTTTCAAATTACTAGTTTTTAATTTATAATAAATTGTACTAAACAACACTATTATTATTATTATTATTATTATTATTATTATTATTATTATTATTATTATTATCAAATTGATTTTTTAGATTTTGATTTTTTAACATAAAGAAGAAGAAAGAAACCGACAAATTTATTTTTAACATTTTTTTTGATTGGGCCAAATAAGAATCTTTACTGACCGTAATTACAAGTCTTTGTTTGTGGAAGAATTTGGATTGTTGAAAAGTTTAGAGGGATTCTTGTAAACAAAATTCAGTTATGTGGAAAAAGAAATGCATGACTGAGTCATAAAAAAATTGGAATTTAATTAAAAGTATCAAAAATTAAAATTTTTGTGACATGAGTCTTTCAATATTTAAAAACCGTCCCCACATGCCTTTGATTTGTCACTAACTTTAATAAAAGTCTTCACAAATTTTGACTAAAAGTTTTAAGCAAGTCTTCTTTCATCTTAGCTTGACATCTTCAATGACAATAAAGTTATGCATTTAAAATTTTCATATAGATTTTTTTTTAATGTGTAATTTAAATTTAATTTTTATATTGTAGGGGAACGAATTGAAATAAAAATTACGTTTTTTAGGTTTTTTTTTTTGACATTCAGCCTTATTAAATTGCTATATATCTGTAATGCCCCAAAATATTCCAACATTCATGAAAGAACAATAGCAACTCTCTAACCTTTACATCATTAATCGACAAGGTTTGTACAAAATAGTCCCACATGCGAATTATACATTCAATGATATCAAATACATGAATCTATAGCATATAGAACATCAAGTCCCAAAAATAAATAAAATGCCCTTAAAGGCTTACATATTCCAAGGCTGAAACCTGGTTACACAAAATATGGTTTCACGAACCAATACATTTATAGCCCTTGGCTATCAAAATAAATCACAACAAAATAAGAGTTGTTTACTCTCTACAAAATATGTCTATGCCTTTAACTCGGCGGGATCACCACATCTTTTCTTGCACGAAAATCCCATAGGGGTGAGCTTAAAGCCCAGTAGAGAATTCTTAACAAAGTATATACATTTTATACAAGTCCAAAGAAATGAAATGCGTATGTCATGCTACGCTCTTTTGAAAGAAAATCACATTCTTCTTATCTTTTGAAAACCATCATGCTCAATGATATAATGATATCTTCAAGAAATTTAAAGTTTATCAATTTAATACAAGGGGCAGTAAATACGACTCAGGTAATCCCTAGATTGGTGTCTGCAAGTAGGCATAACTAGCACTACCAAAAATCCCACTTTACCGGTTGCTAACCGGAAGGGAAGTGGTACCTCCCCGGCGCGTGTTTTCGGTCTTTTACCCTGGACACTCAGGCCAACTTAATCAATTCCATCTACACCTTCTATCCGAACTTACCAACGTATTTACCCCAAAACATTTCAATAAATTTCATTTCTCAACATTTCTTTCTCAATGCAAGTTTCAAATCCCAAATTCAATGTTTAAAATTAGCAAGGTATTTAAGGTGTTCATGCAATAATTATCCATGCAATGAAGTGATCAATCGAGTAATGAGGTGATTATCCATACGATGCATCGTCCTACCATTCACAAACTTTCTCACAAACTCTCCGTTTGTGATCACAATTTCCACTTTTTTTTCCAATACATTTCCACATATATAACATATTCATTTATATAGCTATCAAAATGTCGCAACAATCCCACGTCTCATGTATTCTCAACCTTTTGTTATTTCATGATTATGTACATATATACTTAAACAATAGATTCCAAAGAAAACCCACTAATTCACATATACTAAGAAAATTGACATTTTGCATCCAATATCATGAAATTTCCACTTGAATATTTATTTAACACAAATAAATCCATAGTTCCTCAACATCCACCAAAACCCCCAAATTTATGGGTTTTTCACCCAAACGATGCATTTCTTTATTTCTTGGTATAATCTCACCAAAAACATCATTCTTAAATCAATGTGATTCAACTTCTTAAGAACATCTTTTAAAGAGAGCAAGAGATAAACCCCTTTTTCAAAACCACTAATTTCTTGAGCCAAAAACAAAATTTTTAAATCAAACAAGGAG